AACGGGCGCCCCGAGCCGGCCCCCCAGCACGGGGACGCAGGCCAGCGCCGCCTCACCCGGCCAGCGCCAATGAACCGCGTCCCTTCGTCTGGGCACCCGTGGGAAGGTGTCCCTCGAGCAGCCCTCGTCCCCAGGGACCACCCACGCTCACCTTCCTGCCACTCCTGCGCAGACCCGTCCACACCTGCTGCCACCGCGGAGGCTTTGCTGTCCTGGTCCTTCTTCCTCTTCTTCTTCTTCCTGGGATTCTTCTTCTGCTTAAACTCCTGCGTGTCCCACTCGAGATCCCAGAGCCAGGGGTCATCCTTGTACCTGCCGACACGCCGCTGTCGCACCTCTCGCGCAGCTCTGCTCCCACCCCCAGCGCTCGCCCACAGCCCCCCAGCGACCCTCCATCCTGCGAGGGGCAGGACCCGCACTCCCAGCCCACGGGTACCTGTCCCCGTGCAGCAGCTGGCAGGCGTCGTTGGCCAGGTTCATCAGGGACTTTTTCATCTCCTTCTGCAGCTCCTCGTAGATGCCCTGAGCATCGTCCAGGTACCTCTTCCAGTTCCCGTTGACCGGCAGGTAGGACACCCCCATCTCCAGCATCCCTGCAAACGTCACGGGGTGGGGGCACCTACAGCCCGAAGCAGCGAGGAATTAGATGTCTGCTGGAGGGGATTTGACTGTGCCAGACACAAACATGCCTTGCAACATCGTGTCTTCACCTAGAGTCTCCCAGCCCCACGCTGCCCTTGGTGCTCCTCCCCTCAGCCCGTAAGGACCCTGTATCTCCTGCCCGCCCTGCACGCGCTGCTCTAAAAGCAGCCCTGCGCACCAACCCCAAAGCCGTCACCACCTCCATCTGCCTCGCTGAGCCTGCTCATCCCCACCAGCCATGGTGTGCTGCCATTTATTCCTCCTGGCGCGCACCAGGGCGGTCTGAGCTCCCTCTTGAAACGGGGTTCAGGGCCCCCCAACCTCCTGTTGCCACTCCAAGGACAGGAGGAGCCGCATCCCATCCCCAGATGGACCGCAATCCTCCCTGCTGCTGGCCAAGACCACAGCCCCTCAGCCAACGCCGGCCAGAGCTCGGCAGCTCTCACCTCTCCATGAAGA